TTTTGCTGAAGAAAACCTTAAATAAAACTTCAGATGGTGAGAAGTTTTTGATATTTCAGCCAAACAGTCTTGTTTTTATTTTCCTATGTTGTATTGTTTTCAAAATTGGAAGAGATTTTTTCCCTCTATTTTTTTTCTAGTTGCAGTGAATGTTTTAGTCAGAAATTGTATTAGATGTTCATAAAATGTGTACAGCAGTACTTTAAAGTAGATCACAAACATGCAGTTCTTTTACAAGGCACTGTAGCATTATAAAAAAAAGTATCCTGCATTGCTTTTGTTCAACTTTTCACTTTGCTAGAAAGATTTTCATTCAGACTGGAGCAAATATGGTTACAACCCATAATCATGTTGCTCATATGTCAGTTTAAGGTATTTTGCTCTGCAGGACAATTAGCTTTCCTTTCAACTCTTCATTGAAAATACAGATTTTTCTGTTCTCCTTCCCATAGTCTTATTAGAAGGAAAGTTGTTTTTTCTATTAACATTAGGGTAGGAAAAATTATTTCTTTCTAATGTATGTTACTGTGTGATTAAAAAGATTTTACTGGAGGCTCATTGGGCCTAGCAAACTAAGTTACAAGCTGGTAAGTACTTCCAGATCCCTAGGGCACCTATACACATGCAGAGAGGCTGCTCCAATGTGCTGTAATTAGAGTGTATCAGAGCAGACTCAATTAATTGTGTCTGCTGGGGAATGGTAATGCAGATATGTTTCCTGCATGTAGGTAGCATCATACCTACCAACTTAAGTGACAAATGGTAATTACCACAGTCCACCAGACTTCAGCATCATGTGTATCAGTGTCCCCATGCTGAAAAATGGCAGTTTTTACTAAAGCTCATTTGATGAGGATGACATGTGATCCTCTAGGCGCTTGAATTAGAGCGGCTCTCAGAGTTGCTCTAATTAAAGCAACCCCGTCTTTCCCCTTCCCAGAGTATATGTATAAATGCCCTAAGACATTAACAGTTTGTTCAGTGTGGCCATTGAAGCAAGAAAAAGAAAACACGTGTGGAACTTTCAGTATATCCACTAATATGCATCCATTTCTTCTGAAATCAATCAACTTGTTATTTGGGAATCTGCCTATCCAGCATATGAAGGTATGCTTGTCGTGTGACAAAGGTACAGTTGTAGTGTGGGCCGCTTTACTCATGCTAATTTCAGTTTAGCTAGCACAAGTAAGACATGATGCCAAGGACTTCAAGGCAGACTAGCCAACCTAATATGACTTTAGGGACCCTGGCAGTCATACATAGCCTGTGATGATGCCCTTGTTTCTACTGTGTTTTTTTTTTTACCAATATCAGATTAAGTTTAACATCAGTATACCTACCAGTAGTACAATTCACCTTCATATAAGAGGCCCTTCATGGTCTTAGGGGTGTAGGTTGTAGCTGTGTTGGTCTAAGGACATAGGCAGACAAGGTTCTTTGGGTAAATCTGGTATCTTTTAGTAGACCAACTCAAATAGTTGGAAAAATTCTTCTTTGCAAACTTTCGGGTACAATTACTCTTCATCAGGCAGAGGAAGCGTTTGCAGATGGTCTATGCTCTTCCTGGATGAAGTAGTAAAGCAGCGAGCGGGCAGTATATACACAAGAAAGCCAGTCAGTTAAAATATAAACTGAGGTAGTCAGTAGGTCAGAGAGAGTTTCGGGGTGAGGGGGGAAGGAATGGCTTTCTTGCATACGTACTGGCTTCTGGCTGCTCCATCCAGAAACAGCACAGACCATCTGTAGATGCTTCTTCAGACTGAGGAAGCATTTTCAGATACTTCTTCAGCCTGAGGAAGGGTAATTATACCCAAAAGCTTGCAAAGAAGAATTTTTCCAACTATTTGAGTTGGTCTAATAAAAGATATTGGATTTACCCAAAGGACTTTGTCTGCCCAAGAGGCTTATGTATCCAAAATCTACAGCACTGCAAGGGATCTCCAGCCATTCAGAAATATCAGCTCCTGCTATACCATACTGCTCTAGCATGCTGCCACAGTTACCAGAAATCCATGGTCTTTAGGCTTGTCTGTTTCATTCACCCTGCTAGTGCTGCATTATTGTAGCTTTTAATTTGCAACCAGTGGAGCTAATTTAGAATGAAAACTGGATTAGATTTAGATGTGGTATGATAGCCTTAAAGTTCTGGCTTCTAATTTAGTAGTGGCCAGGGTATTTAGATAGTGTTTTTTTTATCTGGTAATACTTTCCCAAACCCGCTGATTGTTAGAGTTAAGACTGCAAGCCATCCAGGGCATAAGCATGGTTTTCACTCTGTATACTTCCTGACACAATGGGGCTCAGTCTAGCTTGGAACTTCTTAGAGCTACTTGAAATATAATTTAATAACAACAGCATGGGGAAGGGTAGATATTTTGTGTCTCTTTCTCACTCAGTTGTGTCTGAGGGGCATATGGGGGAGAGGGAGAGGGTCCCTGCACTTGCCCAGAACAAAACGATTTATTTAAAAAATCACAGCAACAGAAATACCAAGTTTATTCTTCATTGACAGATGTAGGCAGTGTGGAAGATAGAAGTCTGGGCATCTGTGCTGCTGCTTCTTTCTCCTCTTAGCACTTATCTTAGCTAGACTCTTTAATCGGGGAAAGAAAAAATCTGATCTTTTCATCTTTGAAAAATGACTCTGTAGAAATCGGCCAGCTTTACTCATCAGATATGTTCCCTGCATGTAGGTAGCATCATACCTACCAACTTAAGTGACAAAAATAGGTGTCACTTGCTTTTACTCCTGTTAGTTCTGAGTTGGATTCAATTGCTGCTTGTGCTTTACATGGAGGTTTTAATTAACTCTGCTTGCAGGGAATTGGTCAGACCTGTGAATCCCCATTGCAAAAAGAGAGAGTTATAAAAGCAAATCCTATTTTTAGTTGAATGTTTTGGGTAGGTAATAGATGCTACTTCCTTTGACTTCTTCATTCCACAGTGTGGCAGGGCACTGTTGGTGCCTGCCACTTATTAGGGCTGGAGCAGGCAGCAGCCAGGTGCTTGAGTATGGTGGCCATTTTGAAGCCCAGGATATATATATATATATCTATAGGGTGAATCAGCAGTTTGCTGCGGGCAGCCTTGGGAGAGACATCAGCTGGCGGAGCTGAGGCTCAGGAACAGCTTGGAGGTTTATGGGCTGTGGCTATGGGGCTGGAGGAGGCTCCTGGTCCTGACCTGAAACTGCACCCTGCTGGGAATGGGTGGCCTGGTGGGGCTGTTAGTGGGAGAGGGGGAAGAGTGCAGGGAGGTAAGCAGCCCCGAAAGAGGGCAGAGTAGGCCGCCTGATGGGAAGGGATCTAGTTGGGGTACAGACTAGAGTGTTATGGGGCCCAGTGTGGGGCTGGAGATGTTAACAACTGAGATGCCATCTGAGGCATGGGCTGCAGCATAGGGGATGTTTCAGAGCTGCAGATAGCACCCTCTGGCATCGGGGCAGAAAATGGGCAGCCTCCCACCTGGGTAATATCTTAATCATTTTCCATCAAGGTATGGCAGATGAGAGAGGTGGGCGGCTAGCCCAGAAACAGGTGGGCAGGCCAACTTCTAACTGACTCTGAGAAGGCCTCCCTGTTACACACCGATATAACAATTATAAAATGCTTCAAGCCTTTCTTTTTCCCTGAGTAACAGGCAGTCTGGCCCCTTAAGTTCTGCCTGGAGAAACATAGACGTTTTTGTTTTGCTCATTTGTTTGTTTTGAGTGTGGGTTATTGTTTGCCAGGAAGGATGGCTGAATGGCTCCCAACTGAGCAAGGCCAGCTGGGAAGGCTGCAGGTACTTGACCCACTTACAGACTATTTTTTGGACTGGATGAAGGACCCATAAGGGAACAAAACCGATCTTCATAGGAGCAGGCACACCAGCTGGTAGTGAAAGACTGCACTTGATTTCCTTGTCTGTGGTCATGTGATACAAGTCCAGATTACAGAGTTAATTTCTCTGTGACAGTTATTGCTATTCTGTTTCCAGTATCTTTGGCTTCCTTTGCAGGCTTCCCTGGTTCTTTCCTTGTTTTGCCCATGACATGCCCAGCTTTCCATGGGTTGTTAGTGATGGGTTCCTGTCATCTTTGTCCCAAATGCCCCGCTATTTAGTGTGGCCCTGAAACTGTCTTGCTGTCTCCCTGGAGTGAAATGTAAGACAAAAAGCTGCATAAAACTTAGCAGCTATCAATAGAAAAAGGTTCTGAGGGAACTGCCTCCAAAAGTGATTTGAAAAATTAACATTCCTTAATACCAAGAGATAGGATTGTGATGCTGAAAGTTCCTTGTCACTTACCCACATGTAAGTAGAAGGTAATTTCACATTTTGTTTGGAGATTAATGACAATATGGAGATAGCTGTGTTCCATTGATTAGGTTTCATGTGGTGAATTAACTGCTTGTGACAAGGTTGAGAAGAGTAGTCCAGCTTTCATGGCCACCTAGTCTTAATTTTTTGCTTTAGTTGCCAACAGAGGTATCAGCACAGGTGGGGCCTTGTTATGTGAATGCCTCTCCATTTGGAGCTGGAGAAACGTTTTTGGAAAGAAGCAGAGGCTGCCATATAGCCTTCATGTCATGTCTTCTCAACCACTAGGCATAGAGGTGATACGTGCTTTGGGTCCAGTTTCCAATCAAACAAGTCATGTACTGACCTCCCCTCAAACAAAACAAAAAATACCCCTAAGAAACCTCTAATGTTTAATTGTGTAGAACTGTATTTATTTGGAGAACACTGAAAAATGTTTCATGCTGTCAGGACAAACTGCATAATCCTAAAACATCCCTTAATCCCTCTCTTTATTGGCTTCAGCTTCATTATTTCATGCATATGGACAAAACCAAATTATTTAATCTCTCTCTTCCTTCAGGTGTCTCCGTGTGTGTTCAACACAAATATTTTCTGTGTGGGTTGGTGGTGGTGGTGATGATGTAGATAGATTTTTTTTTTTTTCCACACCCCTCCCTTGGCTCCACGTTTAATTTGTTCCTTTCTTTTTGCTCCTGCAGTTGACAGATTTTCGGGAGGTGGTCTCACGGATGCTGGGCCTCAGTATTGCCAACCTTGCTCTCCCTGACTATGAAATCATCACCCGTCTTGAGGGGTTGATCCACTTGCATCAACACCATTTTGTTCCCTGTATCTGCCTCAAAGATGCATCTGTGAGGCAAAATGGGCACTCGCCAAATCATTTACAGTTTCTACACTGAACAACACCTTTTTAATTCATCTGGTCTTATTCCTCTTCAACAGGCATGAGATTGATAAGTCAGTTCTGGATGAGTGGAGGAAATAGTCCAACATCATCGCTCTCTAAATGTATGAAGTGAAATTCTGGTCCCTGGGGAACCAAATGGGAGTTCTGACATTGGCTTCACCTACAGTAAAGACTATGAAACCAACTACAGAAAATTCTATCCTAACTTGAACTTCTTTTACTGAAGTATTTTTTATAAGGACTATTACACGTCACTCTTCCTCTTGTTACAGTGGTTAGATTTGTAAATTTACAGGGGTTCATGGGACTCAAAACACATCACCGTACATCTTGTTTGTCTGTAAGTAAGGTCTACAGGCTTGATGGATGGTATTCAGGGGTAGTGCTATCCTCTGCTGCATGGTTCCTTGGGGAGTAGAATGTGAAAGTTCAGTTGTACAGAGCTACTCAGAGAAGAAAATCATATCTTCATTTCTGTTTCCCACTTGCCATTTACCTTGCTGCCACCATTGCTAGTTTTTTTAATATCTGCTGTTCATGAACTTTTAACTAGTTTGAATGGGTGGCCAAAGGTTATTGGGGCAGGGAATAACAGGTCTTTCTAGACAGTGAGAATTGCTCAGCAGCTCACATTACAACCAGAGAAAGCTCCCTTTTGCATAATTAAAGTGCTGCAAAGGCGGTAAGAAGATATGGACAGCGCAAGGCCATCCAGTATTCATGCAGTAGAACTGGAGGCTTGTAAAGGGCAAGGTTAACACACAGTTTTGCTGTGTTTTTTCTTAATGGATGTTGACGTCTACCGTGTCACGGACATAAAGCCTTCTGCTTTGTCTGCAGCTGATGATGATTCAGTGGAATGGTAATGGCCCAGCTGCCACTGACTTTTCAAGATCAGACTGCTTTTTGTGTATATCTTATGTATAGAGGAGAAATGGACTTTAAGTTGGATAGAAATAAATAATTGTCATTGGAGGATGGAAAAGAACTGTAGTTTGGGGAAGGGGGTGTCATTCTTTCAATGTTATTCTTTAGTCTACTATTGACTTAACAAAACAAAGGCCTAAAATGATTTTTCCCCTCAGTTAGAAACCTTCCACACACTACGTCCTGTCATATGTGGCACAGAGATTTTTCATAGAATCATATCTTATTCTCACTTCCTATAAGAGAAAGTCTTTATGATACCATTGGTAAAGCAGCAGAAATCTCTTAGCTGTGGTGTTTCCTTGGCTGTTGCTCTTTAACTTGCTGCTCTTCATAATTAAAAACTAATTTTAGAAATCCCAGCCCATCGCATCAAAAAACTGAAAAAAAAAAAAAAAAAAAAAAAAGTTTCCTGTAAAGGAAAAGCAAAAGGACTAGGCAATGACGACACTTATTGTTCCCCAGAAATCTTTTAGTTGCTAGAACTGCTCTTATTAGCATTGTTTCTAGTTCTTTATTAATGATACCATCTTAAAAAAGTTTAAATGATAAAACTGTCTTAATTGAAGAATGATATTCTTCCATGTTCTTCAGATCTCTACTACGCATGTCTCATATTTGCATACAAAATAGTAATAATGGCAAATGCACTTATGAGAGAAATTCAAGGAACTGGGGTATTTCAAGAAATCTTACTCCACTCATTAAAATTGCTAGTCTGTATTTTACCAAAACTAGATTTATTTTAAAGCAAAGGTAATAATTATGTTAGCAGAGGGTTAGGACTTCATGGTTTAGATTGTTTATTTTTTGCTTGCCTCTGAAACATCAGTGATCAGTTGATCCTGGAAAAAGGCTATTATATTTCACAAGTCAAATCATTATGGTTATTCAGATAGAAAATTGGTTTTATTCTTATTTTGTTATTCAGATAGGGGTTAACTAATATTCAGAAATGTAAGGAAAAAATAATATGGGGTTTTTTTTCAAGATACATTCTGCTACTTGCAATTGTAGAATGTGGAGGTGTATCACTATAGTCAAACTGAATGTATGAGGCAAGTGGTTCCAACCTGTACTTTTTATTTGTTCCATAATTACATACTTTACCAGCTAATCAGTGGATCACTCTATCCTACCTAGGTTATATATACAATATACAGACTTGTCAGTTATTTTTCATGCACCCTGATATTCATTAAATATAAAGTAAGAGAAACACTTAAAAACATTGAAATACACTGCACTTTACAAGCAATAAATTAAACAAACTATATTAACCATTCAAGGTGTTATGCACCCTCAGCAATCTTTAGAATTAGTCTCTGAAACCTCAGAACATCCCTAAGTAGATAAGTGCTCCATTTTACAGATTTGAGATTGAGGCAGATAAATTAGATGGCTTGTAATGGCCACAAAGTGATTTAGTGTCTGCCAAGACTAGAACTTGGGTATTTGTGGGTCCTGCCAGTCCTGAGATTAGATTTAGGATGAAATCCTGGCTCCACTGAAGTCACCACTAAAGCTACCTAATGACTTTTACTTCAAGGCTAAAGTAATGACTAACCTCATGTCTAGTGGTTAAAGAAACTTACTTTAACTTCAGCTCTGACTCTTCCTTTCATACATTATTTTTTATTTACAGTTTTTCAAATGTGTACATAATTGAATGCATCTCTCCCATTAGCTGATTGTTAATATTCACAGTATTTGCTTTTATTTTGGAAAAGCATTGGCATCTTTGTTTCCATAGCCAAATCAAATAAAAAGAATAAGTGAAGCAGTAGTTTGCCATGAACAAAGTTCATAGTGATTTGTGATCCATGCAGTCTAATTAACTCCTGAACAAAGGTTAAGCTGACTTTTATCATCTTCTTTCAGTCTTCATTTCAATGTTTAGAACGTATTTTTACTTATTCTTCAAAAGGAAAAAATTGTTTTAGTTTAAATCTTCTTTGAATCTTTTTTTCCCCTCCAAAACAAGACGCATCAACCCAAATGCACATTTATTAGGAGTTTATCCAAAGTATGTTTTTAAGAATGAAAATGCATGGAGTGCCAAATGTAAAACAGTTATCTAGAGGGCTAGATGATTGTTTTCACTGTAAATAATAACAACAACAACAAGTGTAAGAATTTACTGATTCACCTACTATTTTTTACAAATATTTTCCTTTCACTGTGGCAAAGGATTCTTGAATTATAAAATTCAAAGTGCTGGTGTAATATACAAAAATGCCAGAATTACAATGTACAATGTGTAACTAGGGGATGTTTTGTTTCCAAATAACAGGCCAAATTTTGTTCTTAGCCACGATGGCATAACTCTGGAGAGATTTAGCTGTAGGCAAGATCATTCTACTAGACTTGCAACGATAAAGTGAACAGAATTTAGCTCAATGTATTTTAACACTGTTTAGCCATTACCATTAAATAAGTTAGCTGAAAATAAACTACTGAATCTTTTCTCTCTCTCAGCCTGTCATTCCCTGAGCAAATATGTTTCTAGTATTTGCATTTGATAAAGTGCCTATTGTGTCATATGTAACAAATCTTGAGCTAATAAAATCAGATGCAAATAGGATGATGTAGAAACACATAGAAATGCATAACTATTGTTAGGATAAGCTTTTTTTTTTTTTTTTAAAAAGGTATGTGATCTTGACTTAATTCCCCATTTCTGAAAAATTAGTATTGACAAGTGTGTTATAGAGTAAAACATTATGTAATAGGGGTAGGGTTCAACAAGCACTTAGGCATGTGCTTAAGCTTAAGCGTTTTGCTGAGTGGGAATCCACAAGAGAAAAGACAAGATCCCTGTGAATCACTCTCTCTGATGGGGATGTGAGATATTTTAATTGTTAGTGTGAGGCCTCCTTTTGTACTGTTTGTAACCCATTCACCCTTCTTGCTAAATTAAAAAAAAAAAAAGATTAGGAGTTATCATTTGTCTGTGTCAGATACTAAACAATATTTAAGATTTCAGTTGGAGGAAGAAAGTGAGGGCCCCAAAGCTGACCAGATGTTAATAAAGAAAAACTTTGAGTATGGAACCAAACATGAGCTTCTAGAAACTATGGTACAGCTCTGTGATCAAGTTACCATATATGCTGTGTTTACCAGAACTCTGACAGGAGGTGTCATTTTCCAGAACTGAAATAGTAAAGTGGACCATCAAGAGAGAACGGGATGAGGGCTGTGGGAGAAAAGAGAGACTCATTGAACAGATGCAAGTATCATGAATTAGGAGAAAAAGATCTCTGATATCACTGAAACACAAACCAAACAAAAGATCAAAGAACCCACAGTGGTGGACAATGATGGAACAGTAACCAAGACTGAGAAGTACGTTCAAGCTTAATCATTTCCAAGCAGCAATTTTCAATTTCATTGAGTCATTACCACAGAAAGGTAAAGACCTGCATAGGAGATTAAATTGGTCTTGACAAGAGAAGGATAAGCTTGGATAGCTCAACTAATATAATCACTGTTCAGGAATAACCTTAAAAATTACATAAAATAAAAGAATAAAAACACCACAAACCATTTTGTCTGAAAAAAAAAAAAAATCTGTTATACTTTTCTGGCAATTTGAAAGGTCAGTTGATGATTCATGGAACTGAAAGAACATTCCATGTATAAATTGATTACAAAAGAAATCAGTTGGCCTCCTGAGGACCTTTTCAACCCTCATTTCCTATGATTCTATTATTTTTTTTTCCTGTGGTTTCTTACTCTTTTCTTCTTGATTGTTTATTACCAACTGTTATGAGTTGATAGCCCTTTAAGAAAAGGATGAAAGTGCGGGGCCACTTCAAGGTATCTCAAGCAAACAAAACTTTGGAGACAGAAAATGCAGGGGTGCGTGTGTGCGCGCGTGTGCACACACACACACACACACACACACACACGTCCTGGATTAGACATATGGGGTGAGTGCAGATAAGCATGCACCTGCGCTTTACAGCACGTGTGAAAAAGTTTTCCGCCCTGCATATTTGCAGTGCAGAGCCAAAATTTAGATACTGGGTAATCCTGCTATCCAAAAATATGGTCCACAAGAAATGGGGTGGTGAGTGTGGCTGCTGTACGTGCCACCCAAAACCAGAACCTTGATGGCCAGAGCCATGTTCCAGTTGCCAGCCAGGCTCCGAGTGCTTGGATTGCTGATGTTGCAGCCCTGGGAGGCCCCCAGGACCCCAGCTAAGGCTGGTGGGGCCAGCCCAGGTGCTGGCCCCAGTCTTACTTACCCCACCTGGGTCAATTTGCCATACAGGCTGAGGTGTTCCCAAGGGACAAGTGGCAATGACACAACTATGTGGGAAATGCACATATAGGCAGTCCTAGACTCACAGCATTTTGATTTATGGTGGTTCACACTTGCAGTGCTCCATCATTTACACCCCTGTCATTACTTACAGTGCCAGATCCTCACACTTATGGGAGGCAACGAGCTGGGCACGGAGCATGGCGGAGGCACCAGGGCTGGCGCGGGACACTTACCGGAGGTAAGCTCAGGGAGCGACTCCTCCCTGAGGCCATGTGCTCCTGGAGGCAAGATGGGGAGGGGGGCTGGCACCAGGGAACTGGTCCACTTCCTAGCTCTGACACCATATGGCTCATCGCTCCTAGAGGCCTGGCGAGGTGGGGATGGGAGCTGGGTGCTGGCTCCGCCAACTCTGGGGAATTGCTCCACCGGCTCCGGGGAACTGCTCCACATCTCCATATCACCTCAGGGAGTGAGGAGGCACATGGCATCAGGGCTGGGGAGCAGAGCAGTTCCCCAGAGCCGGCAGAGCCCATGCCAGCAACCAGTCCCAGCCTCAGGGAGGAGCCACTGCCTGCCCCACTTGAGGACTGAGGAGCTTACCTTTGGTAAGTGTCCCACGCTGGCCCCGGTGACTCCCAGGTCTGTCAAATCGATTGTGTCCGGGCCATGGCCTTCTGATTAAATACAATTTTATGTGATTAGTTACTGCATTGCACTTTAGAAAGCTTTGTACTGTACAGTGTATATCATTTATAGTTGATTAAATAGTTGATTTAAAATATGGTGTTTATGGTCATTTCTCTAAAAAGTTGAGCATCAGGCCCTTGGTCAGGAACGTAACCCCATATAACATTGTTTCTATGGGAAAAATCAGATTTGACTTGCATCGTTTCGACTTGCAGTGGGTTACATTCCTAGAAAAGGCACTGTAAGTGCGAGGACTGCTTTTACATGCTCATCTAGATATGACCCCCCCCCCCCCCCCGCC